TAAGATCAATAATCATAGTATATTTTTATACTTATCAGGTATAATATTAATAGATGATATCAAATAATATTTTATAGTTAAAGAAGCTATTGTACAAAAGAATTGATCTAACAATTGATCTTTTATGTAAACTGCCAAAAAATTCCAAGCTTCGAATTAGATTTTTACAATATATATTGAACAAAAATAAAACAAAAGTTTCAAAAGGTATGCTTATTTGAACTCCAAATAAAAAAGCATTGAAAATAATAAAGTGAAATAAGAAGACCATTCCAATTTATGATTCCGATACTTTAGATCAAGATGATGATAACAATAATGATGACGATAATGATGACAATAATAATGACGATAATAATAATAATAATGAAGCAAAAACTAATAGTAAAAAAAAAAAAGAAAAAAAGAAAAAAAGAAAAAAGATAAAAGAAAAAATCTAAAAAAATAAAAAAAAATAATTAAATAGATTTAAACATAGATATTAAAAATATTTTATATAGTATAAATAGTATAATTAACAATATATAATATGTATAATGTTTTTCATTTTATATTTTTTATTAATAAATAATATATTTCATTTATATTTTATAATAATAAACAAAAATACGATTATTGGTAATAAGAAAAATAAAAATATATAAATAAAAGTTACCGATAGGTATTCAATATTATCAAATCGATAGTAAGAAAAAAGTACTTGATATTGAGAAATATACAGTGACCGATATATGCCTAATATACTATACTGATATATTGAAGATATGTGCCTGATAAAAAATAAATAAAATCAGGTGTCCAATAAGTATATGATATATTTAAAAAAAATATCAAAAAATCAGAGTCTGATATATATCTAATATCTGTTAATATGTGCCAAACTATACTTGCACGCAAAATTATTTTGGGGTCCCGAAATTACAATTTTGGGGAAAAAAGTCGAAATAGTTTTTCATAGAAGATGAAATTATTTTACTTAAAACCCGAAATTTTTTAACCACCCAGATTTATTCTTTGATTAAAGATACATATAACTAGGTACTTTTTTTACTTCCATATATAGAATAGATTTTGCATAAATCTCAAAAAGTCGAAATACCTCAAAAATTCAAAATCAATTTTGGAAACATATATATGCCAAACTTCAGCACACTCACCTTACTTATTGGGAGCCTGATATATTAAAATTTATTGAAAATTGGATACCTATCACATACCTATTGGATATTTGATAAGTATATGATAGGTGCTGATTTTTCACAATTTGACCAAATATACATTATTAATTTATATAATTAGTATTACACTAATAGATAAATAAATAACTAATAATTAAAATATATCAAAATATACTAAATAATTATACTAATAACATAAAATAAATATAAATAAGAAATAAAATAAAATATGAAGATTATAAAGATGAAGAAAACTCATGGTAACAGTAGTTACTATTTAGAAGAGTGAGAGATGACAGATGACAAATATGAATATGAATGTACTATATTTACAAATTATATTTATTATACTTTGTTTATAATTAAATTAATTTATTAAATTTATAAAACAAAATATCATAGATATTGATAATGATAATAATAATAATTATAATAGTTATCTTTTAGACTATCTAGTATTTGAATTTGAATGTTAAATTTTTTTTGTCCTATTTTTACATAATTACATCTGATTTTTCTAAGCTATCCCTTCTTTTATTAAGTTAAAATAAAAGAGTGATTATCCATAACTCTGTCTTATGTGTATGGAAATTTGTATAATAATGATTATAATTTGTACTTGTAAATCAAAAAAATTATCTTGTGTAATTTAATAATCTTTTTTAATATTAATATTTTAATATTTTTAATTAATAAAAAAAAATTATTAAAAAAATATTAAATAAAATATTAATAATAAACTTGCATGTTCACATAGGCTACAAGTTCTTCAGGTTCTTTTTTCCACAAAATTTCTGAAACAGGTTTTAACAAAGAGAAATATATATCACTTTTGACACCTCGTTAACACTTTTTAGAAAATTCAGAATCAGACAATGAAAAAGAGGAAAAGGATGAAATTATTAAAGTAGAAACAAGAGTCTACAAAAGAAAATATAAACCAGTAAGAAATATACAATAAAACTTATCACCACCTCTTTTCAATTTTGAATTGTTTGTTTATCTAAAACAACTATATCGGGTGTCAATTTGACTATTAATATATCTTGATATTATTGTCTCTAAGTTAATTGATTTTTTTTCTTTTTTTTATAACAACAATATTAGACACTATTGTTGAAAATACAAATCTTTACGTATTGTTAAAAGGTGTCAGTGTAATTGGTAAATATTAGATAAGTTTTACTTATAAGAAACTCATTATTTGAATTGCCTTGATCATCTATCAAAGACTTTTTAAGTTACCATTTCTTAACTAGTACTGAAGCAAAAATGGAAAGCTTCCTATTTATCATATATCAAGACAAATATCTTTGAAATGTTTCAAACAAATTAAGAGATACTTGTATATTTATTTTCCTGTTGCAACAATTAAAAATTACATTGATAAATTGGAGCCATTGCTTTCACATATCCAAGATATCTTGAAATAACTTTATATATCAAGCTCAAATATATTTGTAGATAAAATAATGATTCGACAAATCAATTCCTGAAGACTTCAAAATTTTGTCGCTTTGTGATTCTGAATACACTTTTACTTTTTTACCAACTTCACATATTGTTTCATATAATATAACAAAAGTGGGTGACCTTACTCAAGTTAGATATTAGATTTATTATTTCGTTAAGTAACTTCCATATTAACAACTCCCATACAATGTATATATAAATAACTATTTTACTAGTATTCATCTTTTTTAGCATTTTCAGTAAAATGGAATTGGTACTTGTAGAACTGTTCAGAAAACTTCATTAGATTTTTTCAAAAAATTAAAACTAGATAAAAGTATTAAACTCAATTGGAACATTTGTTCTAGAGTTGTAGTAGATGGTGTTTTAACTATTTTCTGACAAGATAATGACCTGGTTACAATATTATCTACAATCTATTAACTTGTTAGTAAAAAATAAGAGATAGAATTGAAAAGGTGACAACCAAGGAAAACTAGTACTAATACAGTAAAGGTGTATATAGTTTTTGAATTTAATCAAAAAAAAAATTAAAAATTTCTAAAATAATTGATGACTATAACTACTACATGAATGGTGTCAATATTGCAAATTAATTATGTTCATATTACAATACGCAAAAAGTAGTACAACAAAATTAGATGCCTATTTTTTTTTAACTGTTGGACACTGCAATTATTAACATATAACAGATCATTTAAACTGCAAGATCAATGAAAGAGCAAAAAGAGTTTTGTTATAAGTTTGTCTGGGATCACATTAATTTTGCAAATGATACTAGTAAAATTCAATTGAGGAATAGTTTGATTAAAGATGTGAAATAGTAGAAAATAACAAAATATTTTGAACTTTCAGATCAATAATTAGTTTCTGGAAACTACCTTGTAGAGTGAAGAGAAAAATGCGAAGCGTACAAATAGTACATATGGTTGACAAATAAAAAAGAAATAGAAATAGATCGCAATTCACCATATTGAAGTTATTTTTGGTGTGTAGCATATAATGTACCTCTGTATTGTAATAATATCTAGAATTGTTTTTTACAATTTTATACCAATAAATAAATAAGACTTTAATTGTATTTACTTAATTTTTGATAATAAATAACTGTAAAAAAAAATTTTTTTTTTTTATTTTTGTATTGTTACAATTAAATAACATTTTGTAAAGCTTAATAAAATATTTTTTTAATTTAAGCCATTTAACTATATTTTTGTTATTACGCATATTTACAATAAATTAATAAAATTTAAATAAATAAAATAAAATAATAAATAATTTTATTATTGGAATATTAGTTTTTATATTGATTTATTAAGTGATAAAAGTCAAAAAAAAATGGTTCGTAATGCGTATCACTTTAATTTTGATCATGTGCCATTGCTTGTGACTTCTCAGGTAATATCAAATGCAACATTGCAACTGGAAATTATGTTGTGTGACTCAGGTTCTACATTCATAGGTAAATTTGAATTATATGAAATAACTTATAGTTTCTGTTAATATAATACTGTGGCTGAAAATTATGGCATGTGACTTAGCTTCTAAGAATTACCTTAACTAATAAAAATGAAGTTTTTAATAAAAAAATTCTTTTCTAAGTCAAATTTAGTTTTAATTATTTTAGCATCCAAATTTATCTATTAAATAGATGATTTAAGAGATAATAATCATAATAATGATTATGATAATGACAATTGTAATAATGATTATAATGATAATAATAATAATAATTATAATAATAATTATGATGATAATAATTGTAATAATAATAATGATGATAAGAATGATGATAATAATAATAATAATAATTGTAATAACAATGATAATGATAATAATAATAATAATAAGAATAATAATTATAATAACAATAATAATGATAATGATAATGATAACAGTAGTAGTAATATTAAAAGTAGAAGTAGTATTACAGCTGCTATTACAACAAGTAGAAGTAACATCACAGCTGTTATTACAGCAAGTAGAAGCAGAAGTACTTGAATATCTATTTATATTAAGGACAAATGATGGAGATCCGATTTAGTAAGATCAATAATTATAGTATATTTTTATGAATAAATCTGTATCTCGCACCCCCATATAATACTTATATCTAGCCCCAGGGAAGTGATACCTGTAAATGTTGCAATATGTAAAAAATTGTTTAAGTCACATGTTTACGATTGTCAATTTAATGTTACATTTATATCATGCGATCATCATTTATTTACAATTTATATAATAAGTAATCGTGATCACGATTGTGTTTTTATTTCTTTTTTTTAAAAAAAAAACCTTTAAACAATAAACTTTTTTATATTAATAATTTCGATACTTTCTTTTTCAAATTTATTTACCCACACTCTTATAAAAAGCAGTATTGTGTCCCATTTGATTACATACACGACATCTGTAAGAACCTCTAGTTTTGAATTCTCCTCGAGAACCTTGTTCTTTTTCAACACTACTCAAATACCATCGCTTGGATGATCGATCTTTATTAGTAACTTTGTTCAGATTCTTTACACTCTTGAGATTTGTTTTAATTATTTCATTATCTTGTTCAGTTTTATCTTCATCTTCCTCTATTTGATCATTATTTTCTAATTCAGTATTGATATTATTACCTATCTCATAGGTATTATTAGATATAAGTCTTTCATCGATTGCTGATATTTCATTTACAGGTGTTTCACCATTTACAGGTATTTCATCGTTTGTAGGTGTTTTGTCATTTGCAAGTTTTTCGATTTCAACTTTAGGTCTTTTATTAATTACAGGTGTTTCATTATTATAGATATTTCATGAATATTTCGATTTGATTTTCTTCTAATATAATCTTGAAGAAAGGTAGTTATTTCGCTATTTTCTTCTTCAACTGCAAGTAAAGTAGCCATTCGTGCTAATCCCCATATTTGACCATATAAATTTCTTTTACGAATAGCCTTTTTAAGTGTAGAAATGGTTGTTGGAATTGTGACAGGCTTTCTTGTTAATAAAATACTTTCATTATCATGAGCATCTCTTTTATGATTGAATATTATACTCTCTTGTGAATTTATTCCATCTTGATAAATATCTTTATACCACTGTTGAGTTATCATACTGATATGAAATACTGCAATTTTGGAATTTATCATAACACGAAAATAATGGTGACATATAATTCCTCTTGAGATTGATTTAAGGCACGAACATAGGAAGAATATTTTATTAATTATAATAACGAAATATATGTGATGTTTTCTTTCACTTTGTATATCAATAACTTTCCATATTTCTAGCACTTTATCTTTTTCTACTTCTTCAATTATGGTTTGGAGTGTGATAAAACGTGTGTCATATTGATCTTCAATAAATCCATCTGATATTTTTAGGAGATTTTCCTATAGAAACGAAAAATTAAAAAAAAATTAAAAAATTAAAAAAATTAAAAAAATTAAAAAAAAATAAAAAAATAAAAGAATACAATATACCTGTTCACTATTTAATTTTTCATCACTAGGCTTAATTAAATTCGCATTAATAAATAAACATTGAGAAATTTCTGTCTTTATTATATTATTAATAGGTTCAGTGAGATATTTATCAAGGACTTTTATTATTTCAGGAAACAAATCTTGTCCAATAGTTGAAATAGTATTTGATGTAGTAACTTGCTTATATTCATAAAACTGATTTCATTATTCCTCTTCTTTTAATCTTGAATCAAGACGGTCTACAAGTTCACACAAATTACTATTTGACTTTAATTGTTATTTTATAATTTAATTATAGCCTTCAACTCTTGAAGTACTTTCAATACCAGCTGTGAAATTTTTATAAAGATAAGCCCAAGCCCACAATTTACAGTTTTGATCTAATGACATAAAAGATAATCTTTTGCCATTGGAAAATCATTAAGTAATTGATTCCATCTTTGTTTAAATAGTAGTTTACATAAATTGTTTTAACAGTGATAAAATTGTTTAAGAAAATCATTCCATTTTTCACCTAATTTTTCTTTTAAATTTTTAGGTAAATTTTATATAATATGAAATATACAGTGAGCTGGATATGTTTCAGGAAAAACAATTGGAATTGTCACATCAAGTACAAGATCTGCATTGGTAAACATAACAATCAGAGGTTGTTCGGTTGCTCTTCTAATACATTCAAGTATCCAAATATATATATCAAGAGATTCATCACTTACTAATGTTTGACAGATAAGGCGAGATTTACATTTATTATTCACTACTATAAAATTTTTAACGGCATTTGATACTGATTAGTTTTAGCCGTATTATCATTTATCACAATATCGTGATATTTAAGTCACAAGTTAACCTGATTAGGAGACATCCAAAGAAGACAAGTTAAACAATTTTCTTTATCTAATTCAAAATCTACAACCTATCGTAAGTCTTCAATTTTTTTTTGCATTAATGAAGTAAGTAATATAGATACATCATTTTTAATCTTATCAATATTTTTGTATTTTTGAATTGTATTGACCAGATCTTGATCTTGAAAATGAAGATTTGAAAATTGGGCCTTTAGAAAGTTTCTTTGTACTGTAAAGATTAAATTTTCATGTATTGTCATTAATAAAATTTTTTTAAAAGCTTCATTAGTAAATAACTGATATTTTGTTGCAAATTCTTGAGTTTTAGGAACAAGCAGATGATTATGTTGGTTGATAAATGTTGTGATAATTATTTTGATCAAATGTTCTGGAAAAGATAAGTTTATATGCCATGAACAACTTAATTTCTTTGTTTTAGTGTTTCGTTGTAACTCTTTTAATGCTGCTTCTTCTTTTTTTTTTGATTTATATTTATCACTAAACTCGCAGACGAAAGTTCTTTTATGAACTTGACCTTTACTATTCCGTTCCATTCTATATTTAATAATTATAAACTCATTTCTGCTGCCATATTCATCGAAATAGTTCTCAACTTCATTATACGTGTTGCCCAAATCCCAAATCATTTGGAATTGGGATGCCAAAATCCCAAATTACTAGTATTTGGGATTTGGGATTTGGGATTTTGGCAAAAAATACTAATCATAATTTGAGATTTGGGATTTGGGATTTTGGTATTTGGAATTTTAGCATTTGGATTTTGAATTTGGGTGGTAGGTATAAACTTCATCCCATGTATTGAACCTAGTATCTTTAGAAATATCTTCAGAAGTAACTGTAAGGTATATTAATATTGTGTAAAGATTATGGATAATTCAATATGTATAGATAGTAGATATTAACAAAAATTTTCTTTATCTTCATTAATATTTTCGATATCCTTCATATCTTGTATATCATTCACAACATTAATGAGACGAATTTCAGCTGGATTTTTATTCATTAAGTCTCACAATATTATCAATGCACGTAAAAGAAACAAGGCACAACAATTTAAATGTAATTAAGTTGACTTCGAAAATAAACAGGATACTAAGATAAAACAAGAATAAAGAAAGAAATATTTGTTTATTGTTATAAATAGATTATATGACATATTTAGTTTATTAGGAAATGTGATTTATTAGATGTTTCGCCTTGCATAAAAAATGATATCATGTATGATGTAACTAATCAGATTATATTTAATATATCATGCTAGATTTAATTACATCACCCCATGCGAGATTTACATTTATTCTATTTTTATATCTATTGATATAATATTAATAAATGATATCAAATGATATTTTATAGTTAAAGAAGTTATTGCACAAAAAAATCAATCTAACAATTGATTTTTTATGTAAACTGTCAAAAAATTTCAAGTTTTAAATTAGATCTTCACAATATATGCTAAACAAAAATGACAAAAATAAAACAAAAGTTTCAAAAGGTGTACATATTTGAATTCTAAATAAAGAAATATTAAAAATAATAAAGTGGAATAAGAAAACCATTCTAATTTATAATCCCGATACCTCAAATCAAGATAATAATAATAATAATAACAATAATAATAATAATAATAATGATAATAATAATAATAATGATAAAGCAGGAATTAGTAATAAAAAAAGAAAAAGAAAAGAAAGAGAAAAAGAAAAAAAAAATCTAAAAAAATAATTAGATAAATTTAAATATGAACATTAAAAACATTTTATATAGTATAAATAATATAATTAACAATATATAATATGTATAATGTTGTTGACCATGATCTGATCTTCCAGAAATACAATTAACTATTAGCTAAGGGTATGGTAGCTAATCTAAAATATATTACTATTAACTAATTTATACTACAAAAGTATGAGGGTTGAAAGATTTAGATGTTATGAATTTGTTCAAAAGAGACAAGACTATGAGATTTTTATAAGGATTTGACTAAATTATTTATCAAGAATAAGATACAAACTAAATTAAACTGATAATTTCTAACACTAAGTAACAAATTATAATACAAAAATGATATATTAAGATTACAAAGCAAGGTATAATTCAACAAGGGTTTCAGTATTCCACCAAGGAATAATACAGAATTTTATTTAAAAATTACAATAGTATAAATAATAATTTACTAAGGTATTTATTATTTATAAGATAAATCACAAAGTATTTTATTAACAAGAACTGAACTGAACTGAGAATTAACTAAAGAACTGAGACTGAGAAAAGAGAAATTCAACTTTTTTTATATATAATTGAAGTTATAATATATTATACTGTAGACTATATTAATGCATACACTATTGATTATGCTGATGTATACACTATTAACTATACTTTTTGTTATACTATCTATTACACTATACATTACACTATTGAATAAACTATTGATTACACTGTTGATTACACTGTTGATTATGCTCAGATCTACAGTCGTAATATCTAATAGTAGGGTTGTTAAATGGTGCATAATGTTCTAGTACCAACCTGGGTTATGTACCACTCCATCATGGATTTCTAGTTTTTTGTACCAACCCGGAACAAAATATTTTATTATAACCTGGGTTGCTCCATGGAGTAATAATTATAATTATACAAATAAATGTCTGTAATCATTTCGCAATATAACGTTACACAATATTGTTAACATTTCTAACATTTATTTTTATAAAAATATTTATAAATTACAAAATGGAAATGATTCATCATCGTTACAACGTAATAACTTTTATTTTAATAAGTAAATATTAAACACTGTAATAAGTAATCTGAAAGATAAGAATGATGTACATCTTCTGTATAAATTTCAGACCTATATCATTAAAATTGAATGAAATATGAACGGTTAATTTCGAACATGATGAATTATTTCTGTTCAAAATTTAATCGCTCATCATTCGCTCAATTTTGATGATATAGGTCTGAAATTTTTACAGGAGATGTACATCATTCTTATCTTTCAACTCAATTATTACAGTATTTGATATTTACTTATTAAAATAAAAAGTTATTACGTTGTAACGATGATGAATCATTTCCGTTTTGTAATTTATAAATATTTTTATAAAAATCAATAATAAATATTATATTGTATAATGTTAGAAATGTTAAAAATATTGCATAACGTTATATTGCGAAATGATAGTATGACATTTATTAGTATAATTATAATTATTATTCCATGGAGCAACCCATGGAGTATTAACTCAGTACATTTAACTATATTTAACTATATTTAGGCCATGTTGAATTAGGTTAATCCTTGCTCCACTATAATATGAACCTAACCTAACCCATTATGTTCTATTAACAACCCTAGGTAAGAGACATATATATGACAATCACTTGATTTATAAAAAAGTTTTAGATATAGAAATTCGATCAACCAGTAATATGTATATTACAAAAATAGGATAGAAGATTATAAAAATCTGCATGCATAATCTGGTTATGAATACAAAAGACAAAAACAATTAAGCTATTTATAATACAAAAAGACAATACATGAATATCACAATTGTTTAGCCCCATTACATTACACAAAATGAAATTTGATATTATATAAAAGGCCTTCGGGTTGACTTTAATACATCCTGGCGACATATTCTTTTAATAATGTAATTGTAATTATTTTAACTCAAATACAATTGTATCAATATTAACTTTAACTCAAAAAAAAATTATAATATCAATTCCAAAACAAAGGCATATAACATTAATTTTATAACTCAAAAATAATTAAAACAATATTAATTTCAATACAAAGATGGGCTATAATAATATTTTTTTTGATGATTAAAATTTAAATATTTATTAATTTTAACATGTTTATTGGCAGATTTTTTAA